AATTATATTTATATTATATTTTAATAATAAAATTAAATAAAAGTTAAAAGTATAAACTGAATGGTATATTAATTGTTTTTTTCAAAATTTTTATCAACAAAGCAAAATATTTTATTGCTACAGATACAAGGGTACCAAAACCCATTGACATCCCTTTGCTTAGAAAGTTAAGAAGCACATTTTACATCTCTTCAACACAGCGTAATACGGACAACATTCACTGCATTTCTAATCAACATTTACTGCATTTTTCAGGCTTGTCTTGGATCAGATTTCCATACCTCTAGAGACAATTTTGGCATACTTTTAGCTCTCAACCCAAAAAAAAAAAAAAAAAAGATCTATATTTGACAAGCTCAATTATCCCTTCTTCTTTGTCTTGCTGTGCTCCAAAGATTCTCTGATTTCTCCATGTCCACAGGGTCCACACGGTTGCATACAGCACCACCATCCATGTAGATCTGAATTTCTTTTTGTATGCTAGCCCTTCATTCTGCAAAAACTGATTAGCAACTCCTGAATGTAATACAGATTGTATCCCCCACCACAAGTAGCGAGCATTCCATATTTTCCAAGCTGAGACACATTCAAACAATAATAAATGACAGATCTTCTCTTCCATTTTTAAGCAAAAACAGCACTTAGTCTCCTCTGCATCCTTTAGCACTCCCCTTTTTGTTAGATTTGATTTTGTTGGTAATCTGTCATGAATTCCTCCTCAAGCCAATGCCGAGCAAAGGGACCTAATTATTCCAGATTTTCTTGAAGCAACCTGCCGCTCTATCCTTTTGTGGTAGTTCCTTTTGTCTGCATTTTTAAGGCTTGCCTTGGATCAGATTCCCATTTTGGCATACCTCAAGAAATCTGTCTGCCTTAAGAATTCCTTGAGCTCCTGCAAAAAATCATCAAGCTCCCAAGCAAAAAGATCCCTAAACCAATTCCATTGCCACTCCCACCTCTCTCTCAACCTCAAACCCACATCTTTCACTCTTAATATTCCTATCTGAGACTACAAAGTATAATCTTGAAAAATTTTCTTTTAGGCTTATCTCCCTTACCCATTTCTCTTCCCAGAAAAGGTATTGTTGCCATTGCCTATCTTCGTAATGTAATTGTCTCATAATTACAAAAGACAGCACAAATTCATACAGACATATTATCAAGCATCTGATGTGCATCGGAAAAAAAGACTCTACTTTACCACACCCATCATCTCAATCGCCCTAGAAATTCATTACAACCTGCAACACACTTAAATTGGATGCAAGATTATGTTTTCCTTTTGAGATTTGGGTGAATCCTTGGTTTAAAAATCCTCTGCTCTAGGGTGCCCATCTCCACTTTTAAGGCACCTTGTTTCTTGAAAGCAAAACCTCTAAACCATTTCAGTCACAAAAACGTTACATAGTGTCACTCCCTGCCCAAAGTAGAAAGCTGAGGCTGGCTGCACCATTGTTCAAATCTTAACAGTGTTCAAAGGATGAATCCCAGACATATGATCTTCAAAGGATGTATCTATTTTCGTTCTATTTTCGTTCTTTAGGTTGTAGTGTTTGATTTGCAAAATAGTTTAAAACTGGGAGAGTTGTTGATGCACAAAACACAACACTAACCATTGGGTTGTAACTTTAATATTGGTCCTTTCTCTCCCTCCAGTAATATCTATTTTATAATTTAAATTATAAAATAAAATTTTATCATAAATAACAATGGTAAGATAATAAACATATTTACAAAAAGAAAAAAAGAAAAATAAGGATGCTTTAATATTAAAAGCGTTAAAATATATAATAATAATCATATGATATATTTAATAAAAATAAAATTCATATCATATCTTATATATTTAATAATTATAATTGAACATTTTGATATTTTTAATATCAAAATATTTGAATTTTTTCTTTTTTCTTATATAAAAATTTTTAAGATAAGATTTTTTTATATATTTAATAATAAATTATATAATAAATAATAGCCTTATCTTTCTTAAATTCCTACCGTCCTCGCCTAAGATGGAAAAAATTTGGAAGCCAAAGAAAAGAATTTTACTGCGGAGAAAATAAGGACAATGAGAATGGTTTGAATGGGCACAAACCCTTCTTAAGCCTCCAAACGTATCTTAAAATATCATTTAAAACCTTAAACTAAAAATGAAGTAAATAAGTTCTCTAATTCTACTAACAATGCAAAGAAATTCTTTTTATACATAGATGAAATGGTATTTCATGTTTAATATCATCTTGAAAGCATAACACCCATGGATGAGAAGAGATTATTTACATCATTAGTGAAATTAAAAGATTTATCTACTTCGTTTTAGTTAAGGAGCTTAAGTGCTATTTTAGGATAAGTTTGAGGGTCTAAGAAAGGATTTTACCTTTCTCATGCTATTAGTTGGCTCCTTTTGAAGGGAATATCCTTATTCAATTATCTTGAACTATGATTTCTTATACGGCTTAGTTTTTTATGGGTTTCTTGAGAATGTTGGGCCCTCCAGTAATTTTACAAAGCAGTTTTGAAAAAATTAATCGTTATATCAATGGTTCACACGTGCAAAAACAAAAAAAAAGAAGAAGAAATAATAAGTTCACACGTGCAGTAGTTAGTAAGCTTTTATGGAGGCAGTCAAGTTGGAAATCAAGGCTTGAGTTGCAGCTTTTGCAGGCTCTAGTTCGACTTCCCACCGTTCCACATTCCACTGATTGTCTATACTCCCCTGGCCCTGAGTTTTCATATTACCCCTTTTTATTTTCTGCGACAGAGTTGGCGAGCTCATTTCCAATGACATATTTTTTTTTATTAATCTATCGATATCTGATAATTATATTAAATTTAAATTAATTTATAATTAAATTACGTCAAATTTAAGTAAAAAAAAATTTTTTTAGGGTTTATTTTTTTATTTATAAAATTTAAATTAAAAATTTTATTTAAAAAAATTAAATTCCTCTCGTTTCGAACCAACGGATAGTTAGTTCCAATAACATATATACTTTAACACAAGTTACTAAGCTGTTATGAAGTCGGCTAACTGGATGCGGAGGTATTTCCGTGTTCCGCCAATTTTGGCTTTTTGTGCTTAATTTATTCGACGAGCTACGCATTCGGTTAATTTTGAAAGTTATGGGAAGTAACCCATAACCCTGTTAAGGGTGTGTTTGGACCGTAATTGGAATCTAGCTTTGTTTTTTTTTTAATTGTATTATATTTATATATATATGTTTAAAAAAAACACTAAAT